CGGGGAAACACGGCAGTTCCTTGTGATCGGTTCCCCCTTTGTCCCCCAGCTTCCCCTTCCCCTCTCCTGGCATTGCTACTCTCATTATTGGTCCTGAGGGGGAAATACTATTCTTTAACCTCTTTTCAATCACTTAGAAAGGAAAAACACCTTTTAGCTTTCAGGCCACACAAAATACTCATCAGGATTGGGCTGCAGAACCAGTTTTCCTAATCCTTGATATACACAATTAAGTCAAGTAGAAAGAAATAGTCAAACTATTTCATGAACTAACAGCAAAAGTTTTGGGAAGGGGGAAGCCCATTATAAATACACAAAAAGTTATCTGAAGGCATCTTCCACTAAAATAATTCAGGTGGGGAGAGAGCCCTAACAAAAGAAACTTACGTTTCTGACCCCAAAGCTGAAGAGCTCTGTAAGTCCCCTGGGAAAGACAGCGGTTTCTGAGGAGCTACACGAAAGGCCAGGGAGTTCTTGATGTGGGAAACGGTCATTTCACATGACTTTATGCAGAAAGGAGGCAACAACTTAACAATCACGTCAAGGGAATGAATGGCAACAAGATGGTTACAATTAAAGCAGAGGAACTAGAAGCTCCAGACAGACCGCAGCTCCAGCATTTGAGGCTGTGGTCACAATGACGGCCTCTGAAGCAGAGGCTAACAAGCACCAGCGAATCATGAAATGCACTAGGTGCAAAAGGGACCTTCCCCACGAGACGGTGTGTAAGCCTGTTGCTAATGAGACAAGGGCGCTTCCACAATCGTAGCAGACCGAAAACACAGACAATCTGACGGAAAGTGAGCTCTAATTCACCGTAGCAACCTGTGGCAATGTCAGCACAGAAGGATGGAAGTCCCTGTGGTGATTGGAGACAAAGACCAGACCTTCAGCGTTTCTCTGCAGCATTGTGCAGGTGACGCAGACTCTGGCCCACTGTGAGCCCATCGTGCCCAGAGGATGGTGTCTCTTCCAGACCCTCCACTCGCCTACGTACTTCCAGAGGGCAGTGGCCTCCCGGACCACCCCCGTGTTCTCATCCACTTTACAGCAACAGCTCCCCCACCCAGGAAGAAACTGGTGTCCTTGTGTCTCACGCAGTTACGCATAAGCAAGGAGGACTATTTTCTGAACCCCTTCTGCCCATGACTGAGAGGAAACAATAGGAAAGCGCCATGCTGCTCTCTAATGCTGTTTCCAAATTCCGATGGAGGACAAGACAGCGGACACTGCAAAAGAACAGGTCACCTTTTTACTGCAAAGGGTACAGGTTCACGCAGGGCTCTGCAGTCAGAGTTTCTGGCTTGAGCAAAGCCTTGCTCCGTGACATCCTAACCAATGATGCTTACCCTCTTTGAGCTCGGTTTCTGCATCTGTAAATATAAAGGGGCTTCAAGTGTGTGGATATACATTATCATCTTATAATTTCATTTTTGTACGCACTAATCGAAGGAGGGGTCTGCCTCAGAGCATTATTAAGAGGATTAAAAGAGAGGGTCCACTTAGCACAAATCGGCACCTGGAAAACACTCAATAAATGGGAGTTATCACTGCCATTGCTATCATTTTATTATTATTAACTGCAAAATGAAAATTAAGCCTTTTGCTGAATTATTGACTGTGCCACTGTCCCTTAGCTGATCTTCATTCAGTCTTTTCTCTTTTTATCTGAAGCTCGGGGACTTCTTAGCATACTCCATCGACTCCAATCCCAGACCCCAACCAGCTTCTCCATTACCACTCCCACTCGGGGGGCCCTTCAGGCTAGTAGCTGCTGACTTAGCCACACAGGCAGTCCTGCTCATTCCCACTCCTCACTTCCAGCTCGGTGTTCTCTTAACCTTTTTTTTTTTAATTAGGATAACGTAACTTTTATTTATTTTTAAAAATCATTTTATTGGGAGCTCATACAACTCATCACAATCCATACATACATCAATTGTATAAAGCACATTTGTACATTCGTTACCCTCATCATTCTCAAAACATATGCTCTCCACATAAGCCCCTGGCATCAGCTCATTTTCCCCCCTCCCTCCCCGCTCCCCCTCCCTCATGAACCCTTAATAATTTATAAATTATTATTTT